GGCCCGGGGCGGCGAGGCGTTCCGAGCCCTCGGGGAAGGATCCCCAGTAAGTGGCATCGGTGACTCTTCCCTGGGGCAGGAGGGGACTGGGGCCTGGGTGCCCGGGGAAGGGAAGGCTTCACCCCTCGCCTTCTCTCCAACTTTGCTGCTCCAAAGTGGGAGCTGAAAAGCAGCGATGGCCCCTGGACCCCCTTCCCCAGGAGGGCTGTGGATCAATCGCACTGAAAGGATTGGTAAAACTCTCCGGGATTGCCTGCCCATGCAAGACAGTGGGGTGGTTTGGGTTCTCTGAGCATCCGAGTCGGTGGGGAGGGACGGCGCCCTTGGGAGCCCCCCCTGGATAAGTCCCTGGGGATGTTAGTAGCTGTACCTGAGGGCCAGGGCATTCAGCAGACTGAGCTGTACCTTGCAGCTGTACCTTGTACCCTCCTCTCACTTAGGAGAGCAGGAGGCAAATAGCTCTGGGAGGGCTGGAGCAGAAAAGAAGTGATCCAGGAGATCAGGTAGACAATCAGGTGCAGCCCTGAAGGAGCCTGGGAACAGGGAGCCAGGCAGCTTCCCCGCTAAGTCAAGGTTGTCTGGAGATGTGGCTAGAGCTGGGTTTTCTCGTCCTTATCACATGTTTACAGGGTCACAGCTCTTTAGGCTTGTCTGAATGCTCTGCTACCCCCTGGGCATCGGTGGTTTTCTTATCTGACTTCCACAAGCCTCCTCAGTTCTGCAGTTTTGCTAGGGGCCTCATTTCCAGCCTGAGACAGCAAATGGCTTGGGCAATCGGTGTGGCCCATGTATGCAGACACCATCCTCCAGCCAGTCCTACCCAAGCTACAATGGCAGAGGCCAAGCAGCCAGAAGAGGTGGTGAAGAGCTTTGTGGGACATAAAAGAAGAGGCATCTACTCAGCGCTTTCTGCCTCAGCAATAGCCAGAGGAGACTGTATGGATTGAGGGATGGGGGAAAAGCTAGTGGTTCTAGCCACTACAGCCACTTCCAACTTCCAGTTAGTACCAACCCTTTCTTCCTCACACTTTCCTGTCCCTCTGCAGCTGTGTGGGTGGTGACATCTGGTCTGACTGGTCACCATGACTGGCTGGTTCACAGACAGAAAAAGACTTGAAGAAACATCTCTATGCCTTGCTATCATCTGAGCACATAGATTCATGTGATACAGCACCATATTGATCCAGCTCATAGGAAATGATCTTTCTCAGGGCACTTCTCTGGGTAGAAGGAAAGAGGGATGTTTTGCTTTCAGATCTTTGCATGAGACTTGAGCTGTCATGATCTTGAGGCAAAGTTTTTTGTTGTGGGGTTTTTGGTTTTGTTTTTAAATCCCAACAGGCATATGGATTTAGCCTATGTGAAGAAGATTGCTTTGGAATTTCCAGTCAAGATCTGATTTCCTCTACTGTGGCTAGGCAGAGAAGACAAAAGTTCTTTTGGTGTTCTATTCTCATGTTGAGAGGACACTCCTGATAGGTGGAAAGAAGAATCTGAAGGCAGAAGGACCACTTTCACTACCCATGGCTCTGATATCCTTTTGGAAATGATATCCTGAGGCTTTCAGGAGCAGTGCTGCTGAGGAGCAAGTTGTAGTAGGAAGGGGTAACTTTGGACTTGCCTGTAGATGATAAAGGAGACCTCTGCAGTTTTTGCCCTACAAGTCAGCTGTGAAGGGAAGAAAGGGGGTTACTTTCCCATCTGTGCAGCCGGTAATTCTCCTGCCTCTAGACTAAGTGGGAAGAGCAAGCTGATCTGGGAATTTACCCTTGCCAGGCTGTAAATATTAGATGTTGTTTGGTGTGGTCAGAGGATAGGGTAGTTGAGGATAGAAAAAGGCCATCTGGGGATTCTTGGGCTCCTCCGTGATAAAGAAGCGAGTAATCAGTAACCTCAGATGCAAGAAGGAAGTCTCTGGAGCATGGATGCAGTTCGTCATGGGTGGCCAGCAATTGCAGGCTGGAAGACATAAAAGGAAACGGGCCACTGGGAATACGCTGGACCTGAAAGGCCACAGAAAGGAGAGGATTCTCCTGCAAAGCCCTGCTACAGGGCTGCAGGTGCCTGCCTCTTGAGGAGAGTCCCAATGGAGAAAAAAAGTAAGAAATTAGTGGAATTTGGTAAGCTGTAGCGGCAGCGAGCTCTAGAGAGGGCAACAGGTAAAATCAGACACTTCTCCTGGTTGTGGATATCAAGAGATAGCATGGACTAGAATATCTCCCAGAAGGGAGAGTACTTGCTTTCTCTAAGGAACTATGATCTTGTACCACTTCCTCCAGCCCCAGCAACTTTCTGCAACATTAAACCTGCGTAATAGCCTGAAATATGCATCCTATTTGGGAATCTGACCAGGGAGAGAAAATGGAGATAATAACTGTATGTTTTGAGTCATCTCTACACTTTTGTTTAAATCAGTTTCAAGGGTTGTATTTAATATGAATAGGGAGCCAAACAAAAGCAACTACCTCAGGCTGATAACAAACCCTCCTGGGACAGCAGTGCAAACGATCCAACCAAACATAATTTAACTGTAGTTCTACAGCCAAAGCCTACGAATTCACAGAGCTTCAGATCTGAAGATGGCTTATCCATCCAACCATGCATGAAGTTGATACCAAGCTGCAGAGCTTTATTTTCTGGTAACAAAGGCTCCAGAAGACACTGGATGTGTGTAAATGATGGCAGGATTTAGTCTACAGAGTTATGGGCAAAGCGTGACTATAACAGGACTTTCAAAAAAGAGCCTTGAGTAGCAGCGGTGAAGATACGTTAAGATCTTTTTCTTGATATAAAGAACTCTCTGATACTTTCATGTCACTCATTTGATCCCCGCTGGGGATTCAAACTCTGCAATGTCTGAGACTTTTTCCACGACTTTGTTTTGCTTCCTTTACAAAAAAGAAACAACTGTTGTGAGGATTGCTAAAAAAAGCCAACAGTCCCCAAAGCGCTGCTTTATTTGTCTTCATGTGATCAGTGAGTTCATATCCAGATCGTACCATGTAATAAATAACTTCAAGTCCTAAGATTTTAGTCCTAAAATTATAGGGGTAAGGGAAACTTTTTGTAGGGTAAGAGTGAAAAAAATTGATGCTCATGAAAGGAGAAAAGGGGAATGGTAAAACCACTTCCATTGAGCCAGCTGATCAAATAGTTTAAGGGATCACCTAGATAGACTTCAACCCTGAAACAGAAGTAAACATACTATTTTAAACCATTTTTAGAGACTAGGAAAGTAATGCTATGGTCACTTCTCAACTAGTAAATGAGATAAGACAGTGATATTGCGCTGCTTACACGTATGAAATCACAGCCCAATCTGGCCAACTGAAGAGTCAAAACTCTCTCAGGTATGGGTGACAATTAAGCTTATTGCAAAGGCTTACTACAGAAGATTTATTATGATTATTATTAGCAATAGCAATGATAATCATTTGAAGAGTACCTTGATGTGTGTGAGGTGCCTCACAAGACAGATGAAAGAGCAGCTATTCTCGGGCAGCACTGATAAACTTTGAGGTGTCATACTGCTTGAACAAGTTGGTTGCCAGGGATGAAAGCAGAGAGGAGGGATGAAAGCAGGCAGGAGTAGTACCAGTATGACCACAGGTTCTGGTGGTGAGTGAGGAAGAGAAAGACCTGCTTTTAGGGAAAAAAGAATCCATCATCTTTTGGTTGGTTGGGGAGGGACTTTGGGAAGGGAATAGAGATCAGAATCACAGACCAGCTGAGGCTGGGAAGGGAATGGAGATCAGAATCACAGAACAACTGAGGCTGGAAGGTGCCTCTGGAGATTGTCTCATTCAATCCCTCTGCTCAAAGCAGAGTCACCTAATGCAAGTTGTTCAAGGCCATGTCCAGTTGGGTTTTGGATATCTCCAAGTGGAGAGACTCCACAGCCTCTCTAGGCAAACTGTTCCAGGATCTGACTACCCTCAACATGGAGAAGTGTTTCCTGATGTTCAGAGGAACCCTCCTGTGTTTCAGTTTGTGCCCTTTGCCTCCTGTCCTGTCACTGGGCACAAAACCAGGAGTTTGGCTCCAGCTTCTTTGCACCCTCCAATCAGAGATCTCTTTTGTGGAGTCAAATGGGAGCTGCAGGAACAAGAAGCAGCAGGGAAAGTAGTCTGTGGGGAACGTAGACAAACAGGACACTGACAGAGTGACAGAAGAGCACAGCAATACAGGCCCATCCAGTACTGTTGACTTGAATGCACTTCAAGTCACATCTTTGGATGCAAGACTGCACTTGTCAGGGAAAACACACATGTATATCGATGAAGTACAAGTCATAACAACAACAGACAGGGAGCATTTCCTAGAAAGATTGGATTTTTTTCACAGAAAAAACACACTATGAAGCAGTTATGTTATATGGGAACTATGGGTTGGGGAGCTTCCCAGAAAGCCAGCTGCCCCTGTTCCCAATTATTTATTATTCATCTCTGTTTCAGTCCAAAATGAGGGCTGATTTATGGGAAATGACTTACAAAATGAAACATGGAAATAAGGGATGGATGATGATTAATGGGAGCTATGATATGTGCCTGTAAAAATGCAAAGGACATAAACGTCCAGGAAGAGAAGGTTGACATGGGGTGACACTAAAGGGTTTTCATATGAGTAAATGAATAAAGACAGTATAGTTCCTGATGGAGATGCTGTCAGCTCACAGAGGTAGCTTTGGGGACAAGGTTAGGAGACATGGTGGAAAACATGCTGTTCCTCACTCCTGCCCTAAAGAGTCCACTGCAGGAAAGTCTTTTGTGTTGGAACTTTGTGAAGGCTCAAGTTGGATTTATGTCCTGCAACTTTATGCTTCATTTTGCAGGTATGGTGGGAACTTAATTATCACTTTTTTGTTTCCTCGTTAAGATGCTGATACAAAGCAACAAAGTTCTGCTTTTCAATATACAGAGCAAAAAGTATTTGAAAAAATATATTTGAATCATGGATTTTTAAAAATATCACTTGATAAAATAAATGACTTTGGATGGAAAACCATCATTATCAGTATCAGAAGTAAGGCTCTTCCAGCCTTAAGGCACAGTAATTTTAACACAGTAATGCTCAAAAATGACAGAGTTATCTTTGGATCCATTAAGAGTTTGTACAAGCCACCTAAATAAACATGCCATGTGATTGGACAGTGAAGCAGTTATGATCAAGTTGTCAGGAATGATCTACATATAGTTCATGGTTCCCTGAGGCAAGGGAATGAACTAGATGACTTCCTGAGGTCCCCGACTCCCTGAAACCATAGACTCTTTGGCTTGAAGATGAAAATGACCACTACAGTATAATGAGTTTCACTGTCTGCTCCCCTGGGAGTGGTAGGTCATGTCCACCACTATCCCATCAATGCTACATTTCATTCTTCTCAGCTTTAAGTTCTCATGGGCTTGGTTATTTTCAAAGTATACTTTCATCCTATTATGCCTCATGCCTGCAACTAACTACAGAAAAAGCAACAAGAACATAATTTTTGCCTCATGACATTTTCATTTCATGCTAAGAACAGGATGTGCACAAACTCTGCCACTCCAGCAGACACTGCTCCTCACCTGGTGGGAACTGAGATGCTACTAGAGAAGAGATGGCAGGCTGTGTGAGCACATGAAATGGTCTGTAAGAGCCTGTGGCTGTCCTAGATCCTCCCACGCCAACTTCACTGGGGGCTCTGAATCACAGATTAAGGGCAGTGAATGGCCTAGAGTATCTATCAAGAGTGATGTCAGTTAATTACTACCTCTGGGATTCAGCAATGAGTTGGTGCACTGTGAGTTAATGACTTCCAGGCATGATACTTGGCAATGCTACCATTATTATTTTGCAAGGAGACTTGAATGTCTCTTCATGAAGCCAGCCAACCAGAATGTTGTTGATCTGCTGTTTGCTTGCCTGTTGCACAAGATATTGGTGAAACTCTCACTACCTATTTGTTGACCTTTCTTTCCCTTCATTCTCTCTCTACCAGTACACACAGATATGTCATTGTCTCCAAAGGAGACTTCACTCTTTAGCAAACAACATCAAGAAAAAGGCCACATCCCTTTCCAAATTACAATTCAGCCACCTAAAGATGGATGTCGACAAGACATTGATGAATTCAGACACAACTTTGAGATTTCTCAGAGGGTTTGAGGATTTCCATTGTCAGACATGGCTATTGTGCTACGAAAATGACTCCCAGCTGAAAGAGTGAGAAAACATTTTAAAGGACAGCTCAACAGTATTAAAAAAAGCTGGATACCCTGGCACCCTGGGGGAAAAAGTTGCTAACAAAGTTAGTGAGATGGGGTGGGACAGCTTTTGAGTGTCACAATAATTTCATTGCATAATCTCTGTCCTGCTTACCCCCAGCTCTCACCAAAGACAATGGAAGCATGGGGTTTTCAGTTCCTTGCAGGAGACAATCAGAGTCTTGCATCACCAAGTCCTTCTTATTTTTTCTTCAAGATTATAAAAGACAGAAATGCATTCTTGACTGCAAACTAACATTCAAAGTCTCCCGAGAATAGACACCGCTCCCTTGGCCATAAAACTTTGGAGAGGACTCAAGATGACCGTGATGAATCTCATGGAGAAGAAAGCCCAAATAAACACAATTTGAATGAATAGAGAATGCAGTCATCCCATCAACAGATGAGCTTGGTTAGCCCTTGTGTCTGCAGCCCCTCTATGGAACTGTGTTACTGCTCAGACCATGTCAGATACAGTTCGTTAACAAAGCTGCCACACTGGGCCTTCAGGCCCCTTACCATTTTACAGATGGACTTGGCCTCCTCAGAAAACTTATGGGAGTAGACCTCTTCTGTCTCCAGCACTCTTCTGTCCACTTCTTCCCTCTTCACCTTCTCTTTCCTTCCACGAAATGGTGATTGCCCAGCAATCATTTCATAAATGAGACAGCCTAGCCCCCAGTAGTCAGGGCTGAGTGTGTATCTCTGGTTGTTCAAGACTTCTGGAGCTGTGGAGGAGAAAAATTTGTCTTGTGGAAATGCTTGATATTTACATAGGCAAAAAATTTAAATTTCTAGAAGTTCCATTTTGGTGACTGAATACACACAGAGAATGGTGGGTGATGATAATATATAGAAATACCTCCTGATTTCTGTTGATGGCATTACAGAAAAAGCAGCATGCTACACGCCCTTCTTTTTCTCTACATGCTACATATCATGTGCATGCCATCTTCTGACTTCTCTACCAAGTCAGACCAATTAAAAAATAAAAAAAAGAAGTTGAAGCAAGCAGAGGCCTAATCTTAAAAATCCTTCCAGATTTCTCCATTTAGGGGAGAAATGACATGCAAGCACATGTCCTGTAAACAGTGGTGACATTTCTTCAGAAGCAAATTCTGTCTCTCTGCTCAATTTATAACTTTTTTTTCCCCTTTGAAAAACAAATCCATTTCTTTTGTGTTGCAACCATCCAGTATGCTTTGGGCATATAATCACTGTCTTGCAGGCATTCTCACTTCTGTACATGGATACAAACACACATACACACATGCTCACAAGCACAGGATCTTCGTGTGCACACAAACTTACGCTGGGTTAAAAAATAATTTAGAAATGACAACTGATTTCTTGCTTTCATTAAAGTCTCCATATGGTGTAACAGTGGCTCAAATCATCTAGTTTCTATTTAGTCAAATAAGCATAAGCAATTTTCATTCCAAGAAATATGCCCACCCAGAGAATGCATGAAAATAATTACATTCAATTCAGAAACCAGATCTAGTTAAATGAGAGAGTATGTTTTTTACCAACGTACAAATCTCTACTCTTCTTTTGTGCAGCCTCCCCTGCACACAGGGGAAGACTCCAGATAACTGTGGTCAAGATGACCATAGGTGTGGACTTACCCATTTTATCATAAACATACAACTACATTTTAGCTGTTACACAAAGTAGCAGCAAGAAATAAACCTTTATTTTATGCACATAACCCCCTTATGACAAGTCTATGCTAAAATCACTAGTATCCCAGTTGTTGTCTCTTCTTTTAGTTTTCTTTGCTGATTTAAGATTAGTGTATAATCTCATAAAGGTTATACACTAATTATACAGTCTCATTATACATAATTAATTATACAGTCTCATGAAGAGCTGCCATGGTCCGTCCTTTCGCCCACGTCTGATTTCCACTAGCATGACCCTGTGGTGGGTTGCTGCAGGGAGCTGGACCCAGCCGAATGTGAATCTTTTTTAATTCTTTTTCTTAGACTTACGTGGCAGAAAGATCACAAAACCTCAAGTAATGTCGGCACATTATCAAAAAGATAAGCTACTGAAGACTTACCCATATATCCTACTGTTCCTACTCTTCCGCGGATTGATTCACCCTCAGGGATTTTAACAGCTAGACCCAAATCAGATATTCTGATATGGCCTGGAAGGAAAAAAGGAACAAAACAACACAAAGCAGCTATAACAATATGACCCAAATTAGCACAAAACCACAACCGTTGTCATTGCTACAATACTCTTGCAATTTGCTGCCCAGACATTTTAAGAAAAGAGTGTTTTGAATCGCTGAATTGGAGCAGTTTCATTGATAAGAAAAAGAGGAATTATTAAAGGCATTACAATGCAGTGAAACTCTTTTTAACAGTGAGGCTACGGACTAGGGTGGATTGTGTTAGATATTTTAAAACCAACCGAAAAAAGGCAAGGAGAAGCATGCTGTAGGGAAGTATCTTGAACTGATCACAGGGGATGGATGGGCTGACACAATTCTGTAACTTCTCTGATGGCTGAAGGGGCTACATCTGCTCTCTCAGTCAGCATGAGATTTGATTATCTCTGTCTTCAGCAACAAACGGGTACCTGGGTTTGCATTAAGTGAGAGTTGTCTTAGCAAAGGATGAAAGTACTTTTGAAAACGGAGTGGGAAGCGCAGATTTAGAAATCACAACTTCCTTTGTGTTGTGTCAGCCTTGCACCAGCAAGGATGGAAAAACAATGGGCAACGGGCAGACACCCCCAGGAAAGCCAGGCTCTGGAGAAGGGTCCCTGCTGAGCAGCACGGCTGCTTCATTCCACCCGTGCAGCGAGCTCCACGCTTCACCCACCCCAAGACAGGAGGAATTAGTATATGCTGAGCCTCTTAGTCACTTCAGAGCATTATTTGTCTTTGTGCAATATATATCCTAAAACTAACTTAATCTACTTTACTGTGAAAGCATCTCTGTAAACCTCGGAGACTTACCATAATCATCCAGCAGGATATTTTCTGGCTTCAGATCTCTGAAAAGGAAAGACAGCAGTTATTTGTGTGAAGCTGGTTTTGATAACATATCCATACGACAGTGTGTGAGTGCATTTATTACCAGTAATAAACCAATTGAGTGTCAGCTCAAACAGCAAGGAACTCATGAAACCAATACAACTTTCTACAACTCACTTCACAGATAGACTGAAACCATATGCCTTTTTCTAAGCTGGAGTTACATTTTTTCGCTAAGCCAAGCTTTTAGTTCCTAATCCACTCCATAATGGACTCATCCATCTAGTCCAGTAAACCCTGTAAACCAGGCCCTGTAGTCCTGTGTGTTGTTCAATCTCTGTAACATTTTCTGTTATAAAATCATTTGTTAAAAAGAAAAAGATTTTAAATTTCAAAATATTTTCTTTGCATGTGCAATAGCAATCTGTTGGCCTCGAATTTTCCGTGCCTGGCATCTGACTCAGACCAAATATGCGAATGTGTGTACATGCACTTGTGCACACATGTAATAATTTCAGTGAGTTTGGAAAATGAGGGGCAGAGGGGGAAATGCTGTGCCCAGACTAAGATTTTTCTTACAAACATTTGTGAAACTCCAGTGCCGATGTGGTTTGGAGCAACGCCATGAAAATTGGAGAGGTGGTCACTCTGATGTCAAAGATGTGCCTTTTACTGCTCTTGTGAAGAAAAAAAAAATATTCCCAAATCTGGCCAAGTTATAAACTTCTGAAAAAAATCATCTCAGTTTTCATATACTTAGCAGAGCCTTGGCAGATCATTCTTCTGAAAGCTTCGTCTGCACCAAACCCGCTCCACCAGTTGTGGCTTCTCGGTGCTGCCCAGGCCAGCCATGCTCAGGTCCAGGTCCCCTCGCTTGACCAAGGCTGTTTTCCAAACCTGTGGAGCTGAGCCCGGCTTTGCTGCCGTTCCTGGATGTGGTTGGGCTGCTGTTGGTTCTCTCCATCCCACTGAGCAGGGACAAAGCAGAGCAGGAATGGAGCCAGCCTTCATGGGACAGAACCAGGGCATCCCAGGGATGGTGGGGACATGTTGGGAAGGGAGCATCCCAGAAGGGCTGTACGATGGGAGCAACCTGTGCTGGCTCAGGAGCCCGATGTGCCGCTGGGTGAGGCAGGGAAAAACGCATTGCTGCAGCTCACAACATCCTGCCCTGACTTTTATCTCATCAACTCCTACCGAAACACGACGTTTAGCCTGGTGCAAACCCAAGAAGTGCTTGGCCTCATCTTTTTTTAAGGCCTCCTTGCATTTGTGAACCAGCTTGATTCTGTTAGCTTCCCAGCAAGAGGCGTTTCTTTTCAAAGAGCAGAGAGAGGGGGGTGAACAAGAGAAACCCGTGCACCAGGAGATCCGTGCATTGCACGGAGCCTGTGCAGGAGCCCTCCCAGTGTTTCAGGCTCTGCCACTTCAGTATCATGAATTTTCCTGTGAGTGGAGAGGGGTATTTTATAGTTTTGACAGTGCTGAGATTAAAATTTCAAAACTTGTCTCGGTTTTATTTATTATTTCAAACAAGAACACAGAGAGCTGTGAACAATCTCCTCCTCTTGCTTGCTTCAGACCCTTTTGACCTCCCAAGATAAACTTCACCGGGTGCCCAGTGGTACCGAGCCTACTTTTCAAACAAACAATGCTGAAATATGTAAAGGGCAGCTAAATGCAGAGGAGAAGCAGTGATTCTGTTTAACTTACCACCGTGGGCTTTCCCTGCCCATCAGCAGAGGGTTTCCAATGCTGGAGCAACACTGTCAAGGGCACTTCCTATTTATTTTTCAAAATTTATTCTGAATCCCTTAAGAACTGTTTCCTTGAAGAACTCAGATTTCATTAGTTAGTTCATCTTCTCTGCCAGCAGTTATTAGTCCCACTTAAAGCTGTAACTGTGGCCAAGTGACAAGAATCCTGCATGCAAGTTGGGAAAAGCTGGCTTTGAATGAGAAAATGAGAGAGTCCACGAGGACTCTTTGAGAACAGCAGCTTGGTCCTTACACTCCTCTGCAATTTAGGGGGCAATTAGGGCAGTCTTTCCTTCGCCCCAGACATCAGTTGTCATTTCTGCTTTCAGATTTCTGGTTCCTCAGGATCAAGGCTGGCTTCCTTTGCGTGGCCAACACCTCCAAGTGCCAAGGAGGAACGTGATTTTTGTATTGAAACATCTAGGAGAAATAAAACTCCCCTGTGGACACAGTTACTTGTAATGATATTTCCCAATGGTACAGCTGCCCATAAGCTGTACCTAAAGCTTGCTGAAACATGCCTAAAGCTACTGAAACATAAACTGCTGGCACGGCACCCACGCTGGAGAGGCGATGGTACATTGTTTGGCTCTACAGGGCAGCACAAACAACTCAATTAATCACGGTGGACAAGGCTTTACTGTATGTTTGTGTGATGCCCAAGACAATGCGATCTTGATGCTGACTGGAGCTTCCAGGCATGGCTACAGTATATATAGAAATAATATATACTATATATAATATATACACATAAATAAAATTTTTTAATGTATCTATTCATATATAAAAATAATTCTAGGAGAACCAACAGCTTTTTATGTTTGCTTTCCATGAACAATCGACCGGTTGACCTTTACTAACACGGTGCAGTTGAGAAATGTAACGTAAGCGCCATGTTTAGCAAGGGAATTCTGAATTAGATAAATCTGACTCTGAGCCTGGTTGTTCTCCCAGGTCACATCCACTGCGTGCGTCACCAGCCCATCAGATGGGGATGTATTTTCCAATGCTGTGTTTTACTCAGAAGCATTTTGTTCATAGAAAATGAAATTAAGTCTGAGGAATAAGCGTTTTGTGATGAATTATTCACCTTGAGAAAGCGTTAGCATTTAGCTGCTATATTTTATTGACCTATATAGCACTTCTCATGGGTCCCAAAACACACTGCAGTATTACAAATTAGGGGTCTCTGCAGATGCTCCTAAAATACTGCTAGAAAATGTCACCTACAAGGATATAATATCATTCATCACCAAAATCAATGTGCCATCTGAGGTGTAAACTAGCAGCTCTTTTAAGAGTAACACGAAAACTACTGCTTGAGGAAGTAGGATGGCATTTCTCTCAGAGCCACGTACTGCTTTAGGTGCCCAGATCAAATTTGTATGGCATTTTAGCAGCCATGTTATGAATGTACCAGTCATTTTCATCAATAAAGTATGCTTGGAATCTAGTACTTTTTAAAGAAACGCTATAATACCTCCTAAAACTTTTTTGAATGTGGTAGGATGTTTTTTAAAAAGGAAAGCCAGACACGTCACTCCTCATTTGATTTTTCAATTGGCATTAAACACTTAATTCCATTTTGTTCCTTGGGGAAAAAAGAATCTGCTTCTTGGACCAGCACCAACTAAAGCAGCGTGTTATCTGCCTGCCCTCCTTGGGCCAGCCAGCAGGATCCAAGTCACATTGAGGCAACCAAGTGGCAGTTTCCTAGAGATTTCCTCCAAGGAACAACAGTATCATAATTTCTATGTATACAAGCCTATGCATAATGATTATAATACATAGGCACATCGAATGATTTAAAGTGTGGCTTAGTTTTTTTAAAATAACATGTTATTGTCTATTAATCATTGTCCTTAGATGTTCTTTCATCAAGTTACAGGACCTCTTCTGCTGTGAATGCCAGCAATAATGATTTCACAAGCTGGGATGATGAAGACAAACATTAAATGTTGTTTACAACTACACTGGTCGTTGATTAAGAAAAAATAAATCCTCACGGAGTCACAAGAACTCTGTCTGCAATCACGCTGCTTATCCAGCAAGTAAACCCTACGGTGCCCTGGAAAAGTGCTTGTATGGAGCTGCAAGCCAGACTGGAAGCTGAGAAGCTGAAATTTGTCCTCCTGGAAGCTGGCTGGCTGTCCCCACACCCTGCCCGCTGGCTGCACCCGCGGCCGGTGGGACACTGCCAGGAGGATGCCTCCGTCCCAGGGCTGTGAGTGTGCCACGGCTGGCAGGCTACGGCCACCATCGCCATCCCATCCAGCTAATCAAACCAGCTCCCGTCCTACCGCCTCAATCTCTGTCTCTCAAACACCCTCTTGCACTGATTGTGCTCCTTGTGGGATAGGAGAGATCATTTTTCCACACCTGACACACTGCAACCCTTGATGCGTTATGACCTAACTAATTAAAATAGAGGCTTGAATAGAACGATCTCCCTTTCATACCAACCAGAAACTACAATCCTTAATGAAATCACTTTAAAGGAACTTCTTATCGTTTTCTATGCCACCCAGTGCACGCTGAGGTAGGGTTTGGGGAGCTTTGTGCTAGTTCTGTATAATTTAGACAGGATGTATTTAGCGAAGCGACTGCTTCCTTCCATGATTACTGAGTCATACTGTATTTGTACAGGGCTCTGCAAAATTTCAGCCAAAGCACAGAGATGTCTAAGCTGTACAGCACCCCAGTGAGTAGGGAGGATGCAGGCAATTCTTTTCTACCCAAAAAAGATGCCTGAAGAGGCTAGAGAGTGCTTACCTGTACACAGTATTTTCTCTGTGTAGGTCTTCTAAGCCACAAAGAATCTCTGCTGCATAAAACAAAGCTCTTTCCTCCTCGAAGCCTGGGTTTCCCATGTTGTAGATATGAAACTTCAGGTCACCTCCATTCATTATGGTCAGAACTAAACACAGTGCATCCTTTGTTTCATAGGCATAGGCTAAATTGACCTAGAAAGAGATTTGTAGCATAGTTGTGACAGTTCAGTCAGCTGCTAAGAAGAAAGCACTAAATTTTCATAAAAGATTTTCTCTAGAAGAGAAACAAAAAAATGTCTGAATTTGATGTGGGCCTTATTACAACAGCAAACATACATTTTAAAAGTAGAGAAAAAAATCAGATGTTGGGATTTAGAGATTTATTTATTGAATCCAGCCTATTCACCATGAGAAATGCTCAAGGTTAATGCTCAGATAGCTTCACAGGCTGGGCAAACATACTAATGCCAGGCATGCTTTTCCACATGAGAGAAGTCTTAATAATCAAGAGAATCTACATCTCCCACTGCACTGTTTAGCTGGATAGCTGTCAAAACCCCATCATCTCAGTAGGTTCCCAGGAAGGCCCAGATAGCCCAGTCCCTTGGTGGTCAAATAGACCATCTCTGAGGCACGAAGGTCAGGATCACCCCTTCCGGTCTCTGGTGGGTGCCCCAGGAATAATCAGAGAAGCCAAAAGCCACCCATCACCTTTAAGTATGTGCATTTGTCTTTGCTTCTGCCAGAGGTAAATAAACACCTTGCATCTGTTGTATTCATAGTGTTTCCTAAAATAAGTATAGCGAACACGACAGATGCTGAGATATCAACACCTTTTTTTTTTTTTTCTCCCTCAAATCTAAGGCAAGTTTTTAAAGACACACAAGAGCTGGCACAACTCAGGAAAGCCCTACGTCAGGCAGGGCAGCTCCACGTCACTGGCTGGGTGCTCCCATGAGCCAGACTCTTCTGATCTAATTGCGTTGGGTCTCCTTCAGTCTCCTCCAAGCTCCTCTCTCCCAGACACTGGGAATTCAGGTAATCACATGGGATAAAAATAGCTCAGGCTGATGCAGCCCTGATGCAAGTCAAGGCTGTAAAATGCATCGTGTTCCCATGGTAGAAACAGGCACCTTGTTTGGTGCATTTGTCACAGAGCAGAGAATAAAAGGAGACTCAGCAAAGGTGCAGGGAGCAGGACTAAGGTGCAAAGGGAAGGGAGTCAACTTCTGGCACCTCTCCTGGAGCAGGAGTTGGGAGAGGCATCAGATTGAATGAGAGACAGCACTCAGCAGGTGAGCAGGGAGCCCAGAGCCGGGGAGTTCAATACTCACTACAAACTGACTATTGACTTTTTCTAAAATCTGCTTTTCATTTAGTGCCATGGATTCGCCTTTCCTCTTTTTTATTCTCTTCTTCTCTAATCTCTTGCAGGCGTACATCTTCCCCGTGGCTCGGACTTGGCAAGCGCAGACCTGTGAATTACAGAGAACAATTGCTGGGTGAGTCGAAGGGAAGGCTGCAGCTGGGCTGCACTTTGCTCCTCACAACCCCATCCCATTTAGTCCTTTTAAGGTTAGAGCCGGCAGCGTAGCAAAATAAGGCACAGGCGGGGGCAGCTGGGGGGACCAACTACTGTTTCCAAACCTGCTGGGTAATATTGGTTTAATTATTTCACTTTCCTCCCCCCTGCTTCCTATCCCACCTCCTTTTGTCTGCTCTGATTGTAATCTGCTTCAGCTGAAGCCTGTCCTCCCCTTCTGACTCTGCTGCCTGGGCAGCGACCTCCAGCCATCAGTAAAGCACAAATAAGGGTGTGACCCTAATTCCACTGTGAATGCAACAGTCGAATACAAAATAATTCTCAGAAGTGTTCTTTTGAGATTACAGTGTCATGAGAGGTTAAGTAAAACTGTTGGCAATTAATGAAAATCAGCCTTGGCTGTATCACATCAGGCTCCTGTAACCTGCAGCGCCTGAGAAGTAAGAAACACCCTTAACAGTGACTTTCAGAATTACTCACCTCCCCAAAGCCACCTTTCCCAAGTACCCTGTACTGCCGAAACGTGTTTTTCGTTACTGGTTGCCTGGAAGAAAAGGAAAATAAAAAAAAAAAAAAAAAAAAGACATACTACATCATTACATTTAATGCACTCTCTGTGATTTATTTATTTCAGAGCATACTTCTGAAAAGCAAAATAGATAAATATTATCTAATCACATTATTTCAAGGTAATCATATTATATAATATAATATATAATTATGTAATTACATTACTTCAATACTATGTATGGCTTGAACTTTTCAATTCCAACATATTAAGCTGTAATAAAATACAACACATTAGTGAGTCATCAGCATAATTTCTGCTAGCATCTTAGGACCAAGGAGGGTTCGGACTCTCCATTATACAGCTTTGGCTTTTGTAAAGGAAAGAGGAGGCCTGAGAGCTTCCAACAAGATATTAATTCTCATGGTATACACGAATTTTTTAAGGGTAGTGCTGGGCTAACAATATTGCTTTGCTTGGTCTTCAAGCTGAGAAGAAGAGATCCAAAATTCAATCCATCAGGAAATATTTTTGGTTTCTTGACCTTAAACAAAGTAGGAAACTGATGTGAAAGAAGGGAAGAAGCAATCCCGGGAACTAGCAAGGTGTGTTTAGGGTTCACAGGTGGGGAGAGCAGCAGGCTGGGTCCCAAGCCCTGGGTACCTGCCTCCTGGGAGAGCATCATGGGCAAGAAGGGAAGGAAAGCATCTCTTTCCTTTTAAGGGTCAAATTAAGGGTTAAATAAGTCTGCCTGTCTTTCTGAGGGCAGAGTGCTCCCTAATGATCTCTAGACACAATCACTGTACCATCTTACAGGATTCCCCCAAAATTCTGCTCTACCAAAATGGCTCCAGCCCTACATCTAACTTATCTACGCTACCATAAAAGTTTTATAATGTGACAGAAGAAGAACTCAAGATTCAGCGAGATCCAATTTTCTATCCACGGCTCCATCACCAAAGTTGTACAATTATATTAGCAGTGGATATGAATATTCCTCCCAGCTTTGTTTCCCTCTGGCGGGCAGCCAGCCGGCAGAGGGAGCACAATAACGTGGCTGTTCCCGCAACAGTGATGATGAGGTCGATGACAATAAGGAATAAATGTTAAAGTGAATCGTTTCATTTATTTTCACTATTGTTTTTAAAAGTAGGGGAGGAAAAACACACAGAAGGCTGGAACAAGAAGAGGAAAAGATGCTATTTTCAGGCTTCTATGAACGTACTCCAAATGTTGTTGGGGTCAAAAGCAACAATTAGCAGTGATAACTACACGCTCAGCAATGTCCCTGGAATAAACGGGCTGTTTGACTCTGCTGTTGGAGCCAGCAGGCTGTCAGAAGGAGCTGCTCATCACTCCGTGCTACTAACATCTCTTTGCTAATCCTAAAAACAGTTCTCCCAGTTTCTTAAGCCGGAGAGGCGCATCCAATAGCTTGTCACGTTTGTTGGGGGAACGGAAAAAACAAATCCTCAAAGCATTTGAGAAAATTCCTTAGCCCAAATGTGAAAACAGATAGGAAATAGCCTGGCTAGAGATGAATCATCTGTTGTTTTTTTTTTTAATTGGAATGGAAGAGTAAGTGCTGGATTCAGTAAAGATGGCATGTGGAGCATGTCTTGGCATGAAAAGGCTCTCCCCTCTGCCCACCGCTTCCCTTCCCTCTTGGGCAGCAGCTTTGTAGCTTTCCAGGGAGAGGAACTGGCACAGCTCCTTTGATCTCGGAGGCATCCCGCTGACACACACCGCTCATGGAACTGGCCCTAACTCATCTGCCGTAATTAATTCCATTTGTGGAAACTGGGGCTTCTCTCAACTCAAGGTCACTTACCCAGCAGTGCTCGTCTGCTACAGCCCTCGCCGACAAGGAGAAGGCAAAGGCGCCTTTCCTTGAAAATTAATACCCACTAAGGCTGCCTGGTTATTAAATGTGCTCAGAAATGTCTAGCCAATAAATATGGTGCGAGGACCTATATGCCATATTTTTGTCTGCTTACGGTGATTTAATAATTGTGATAACTGGTCCAGACAAAAAGTCACCATATTCCGAGCGTGGCTAAGCAGAAAGACAACTGAAGTTGCTCAGTGTACTTTAATCAGACCTAATGTACCTAATACCATTAAATGGCCAAACATTTCAGTTTTAGAAGCCAACACTGGCTCCCTGGTGTTTTGGGGTGGATTTCTGTTTTATTTACTTCCCTAGTGAGCAGCATCTGTTTCAGTCTTGCTTGGGCACAGTTTTGCAAATGCAAAAGCCAGAGGCTCGATGTGTGCCTTAGGTTTAGCATTCTGGATGCACAAGGGTAGGTTATAAGTGCAAGGTGTCCTTCAAGCTGTGCCACGATGAGCTTGTGACAATGCCTACAATGAAATTGGCCAGAGATGTTTCTCAGATGGCAGGAGATTTGTATCCCTATTTTTAGAGGCTGTAGGTCTTGCCCTACTCACTTGCCATGCACAAGCCTAATGTTAAAAAAAAGGTGCCCAAGTTGCCTGCTGGAGCATGTCACCTTCGGGAGGGTGATGTCCCTAAGAGAGGAGGGAGCTCTCCATAGAGAGTATTTATGGGAAGCACATGCATGGGTGATGAGGGAGCACTATATATATCCCAGACACAAATTGTGCTCATTGGATGTTCACAGCTGGAGACTCAGCTCATGGTTAAATCAAGTGTAATGCCAACATAACCATGACTCTTCTGTGTGGCATCTTCCTGTGGCTAAAGCCATTACCTCTTTGTGAACCTTCTAACAATGAACACTTACAAACAAATGCTAAAATTAGGACAGCCTTCCTGGAGCTCTCTGGGAGAGCTTCCCTGGAGTACAGCTCAGGGAAATGGGGAATGAGTCTTGATGGACCTTCTTGAAGGAGAACAGTGAAAAGAGCAAGAGAATCAATGAAAAGAGAGGGACATAAATGGCAAATATTGGGATGAAGCACAGTAATGCTGAAGAAAGGACAAACTGTCTTTACTTGAAGACAAAGGGAGAATACATACTATCTCAGCTGTCAAATTTTGACCAGATTCTAAAGGCTTTACATGGGAAGTGAAAATAAATCCTTTGTATTTGTTTTTTAAATGAAAAAAAAAAAAAAAGAATAGTGACACTTACCTTTCCAACCACTTCCACTGGAGAAACCTGTCGAAGTACATGCTGTTTAGGTATTCTTGGAATGGTTCCCCACTGAGGTGGTCAAGGACAGATCTATCTCAGATGAAAAGGATATATAAGTATTTTGTAATCCTGAACTTGGAGCAATGGAGAAATAAAACAAAAGGAGAAATCTAGACTTCTTGCATGGTAGGATTTGCCAAGAAAGGTTGGACCAGATGATCCTTGAGATGCCTTCCAACATGGTAGTCTATGATTCTATGATTTTACTTCTAGTTTATTTTGTAGTTTATTTTACTTACAGTTTCAATCTAGGAACAAAGTGATATGTTTGATGTATTTCATAACAGGAGGCTTTATACAAACTGAATAGTAATATGTACTGGTTTTGCTTGCTGAAAATTAACAGGGCATATCCCACTGGCTTCAATGGACTTTTACAAAGGCTGTTTTAGTCACTAGACAACAAATGTCTTTGCTTCTGTGGGTAAATTAACACAACGCCCTCAGGAACTGAGCTCCTAAACTTTGGGGGATGTTTACATCTGCATGGAAAATTTCTGGCTGAAGCCCATTTCTGTCAAAGAGGGACCATCAGAGGTGTTATTTTGAACAAAAAAAAATCAATTTTGATTCCTGCTATGCAGAAGAAGTAATAACAGTGATTAAAGTCAAAGGACTTTTCCTAACAGCTGTGTGCTTTGTAGGGTAAAACAGAAGAACAAAAGTCTGAACAGGGATGTGGAGTTGTTTATGGATCAAGAAGAGAATTTGGGGGTTCACACAGTGGATGTAAAGTCTTTTGCATAATCAAAGGAATAAAGGAATAAAAAGGCCAATCTGCAAATGCGAGAAGTGTGATGCCTGTGGCAGGCAACAAGCAGCCAGCGACCAACAGACATCCCATAAGGAAGGCCAAGGGTTCAGAGCTAAGAAAAGATGGGCTGAGCTGAGAAGCTGCCTGAGATGAAGGCGGTCACGTTGTTTAACAGAGGGTTGTTGTCCTGCTGGTTTTGGTTCTTGCCTCGCTTGCTGGGACTACTGCATCCACCTCTGCTGGCAGCATTGGCAGGGACAAAACTTAGTTTGGGGTGAAAAATGCCCACAAGAAATGAGTATTTCTTCCCTGGTGTACACACTTTTGTGTCTGTGTCTAAGGGTATGCAGACACAGTTCTAGATTTTGCTGGAGGAGGAAATCCTCTCTGAAGGACTACTCTGGTTTGTGACTTACCCTGGGGCAGTTCCAGACCTGAGCAAACAATTCACCATGAATAACGTGTCTCCTCAGTTCCTCCCTGTTTATGAGCTACTATTCATAAGTTTTTTGGATTTCTCAGCTGTTTGAACTTTTTTTTTGGTAATTCTTGCACCATCAATTTGGAACAGGAAAGTGATTGCACATATTCAATATTCAGAACTCATAACTGTTGTTGCCTTCATTAGCTGTGATTGGACACAGATCATACGGTTTCCCCAAAGCGGATACAAAATAAAATAAAATGTAAGTCTTAATGAGCTTTAACAATGCCCAATTTCAAAGCCAAAGTTAGAGGGGAAATTGGAGGGGAATAGGAGCAGACAGTCAAAATACTAAAGGTCAAAGCAGAAGTTATAGTTATACGTGCATTTCTCCTGCAGACTGATCTTATCTATGACGACGTGTCTGAAACTCATCCCCGTTCCTGCTCCTACAGGACAGCAGGCTTCATATTTGTATGTATGCCTCCCTTCTTTGGTCTGACTGTGAACTCTTCCAAAATTAACATTATTCAGTACATCTAGTAAATACCAACAGCGAGTTTTTAAAACTTCCTTTTGACCCCATTTCAGTCCATGTGAAACGATCAGCATATTTATTAACAAGGTCTCAAACCTGGCTCATTTATCTGTTTCGGTGGAGACGAAGGAAGGGCTGTCGGTGAATACGAGCCTGAATTAAGTGGTGTCCAATGCTGGCCTATTCCATCCAGTTAATTAAAAGCTGCACGTATTTTAAAGAACAATAGCTGCCTTTCAGCAGTTGTTTGCTTTTTAGTTCCCCTCTTTGGCAACAACAAAGTGCATTTTAGAGGGAACTGTCAGCTTTCAAACCGATTGGAGAACTGGAAACAGGCATCAGGGGGGTTTGTGTGGAGCACAGCTCTGCCTTTGTCGTTGGGACCGGCGCACACAACTGGTGCGAGTTAAACGAGCATCTCCACATGACACCAGGCCAATGCAAGGAAACTGGTTATGTTATAAGAGAAGGCCAGAAATAGCCCACATCTCCTACCAACGCAAAGAATAACTGAAAACAGAAAAGGTCAATGAAATGAGTCAAAACAATGAATGACAGCGGAGTGAATTTTACAAATCCCCATTACATCATCCAGGGAAAACAAACCGTGCTCAGCCAGAAACCACATGGGCCAGGCTCGCGATGATCCCTCCTTTTCATATTTTTATTGGTTTATGATCTACTGGCGTGAACGTACCGGGGTCAGTGTTTGCAAATGCAGATTGCATACCTGGAGCTTTAGCGCATAATGGTACAAATTGCCTCGCCGCTGCAAAAACTGATAAGCTTTTTCCCAGACAAAGGATGAAATAATGCACGTTCGTTTGAACGCCACAGACAGACAGAAAGCATTAAAAAAGCCCCATTCTCCTGGTGAAGATTTTCTGGAAAAGCCACGCGGAGCAAGTTTGCACATTCCTCTGTCTAAATGGACTGTATAGCCACTTAATTTTTATTCACTTTGAAACAGAGATGTTTTCTTTGGATACATTATCATTGTAGCTCTTTTCACACAGCATGAAATCCATGGCTGGTTTACTTGGCTGGAACACTCTGTCAAATACCTGAAACACTAAGTGCCTGTGTGTAGTGTATATAATGGCATGGAAATATTTATTATATTTTGTTCAGATGAAATGACTTCACCGCCTGTCAGCAGTGCCTCCAGGATTATGAACATAAGCCGAAGAGACATGCTTCAGGTTCAAATTGAAATGTCTCTCTTTACCTGGCACATTCCTTACAAGCTGCTGCTCTTTGGTTATCGTGTTATACTTACTTTGTGCAGTGAGAGAACAGCTCTTTGCAGGGGCTGTTTTCGAGTTTCTCCTCTGTCTGTCGGATAAGATCTTGACTGACTTCGGGAACTTGGGCTGGAGACTGGGGAAAGGAGAGAAGAGAAGGGGCACATTATCTCCGTGATGAGGTGCAGATTCTCCTCTCTTAAGGCGTAAAAGACACATTCATTATTTATGCCCTGAGCTGCTTCCATTCAATTCCAGCGGTTGTGTAAAAGCAAAGGAGCTTTACGTCAAACAGCAGTAAAATAGGATACCGTGGCAACTCGCTCCACATTCCGCTCTATCCTCACATTGCTTTTCTGCCTTCTCCTGTACCTTCACCTCCTTGCCCAGCCTCATGAATATGCAGGACCCGCTCCTTGCCAATTCTTTGAACTGCTCCCTTGCATCCCATGAAAAATGTGCTGGCCTGAAATGTGTACAGGCCATTCTCTTAAACAAAAGAGAATTTGCCCAGTGTTTTCACTTCATTGATGATTCATTGTGCTGTCTGAAAAATCCATCTTCTTCTTTTTTTTTTTTTTT